GCATGTCATGTTCGAATAATGAATCGATAAGTCGATCAAAGTCAACACTGTCACATCACTACATCCGCTGTGACGTCATTTGTTTTGATTCCATGTCCACCCCTGTACATTATCGGTCCGGGCCCGTATTTCAAGACCATCCATCCATCATGTCGTACAATGATCTGCTGTACAATACGCTGCCGTGCGTTAACCTGCTGTGCATTGAGTATGTCGTGCATCGTGGTTCCCCCTTGTACGAACACTCTTTAAACAATAACAGTGTCAAAAATTGATTTCTCAAAAGAAAAAAAATTTACTTAATCCGCAAAAAATATGATTTGTTTTGACTGGAATTCTTTTCAGTATTTTTTACGGCATCCTTAATCGATACTTAGCCTACCCTGAAGCTATGAAACGCATTTAAATTAACACCCTGTATGTTGCCATAAAGATACACTAACATTATCTATGCATTTTAGGATAAATAGATTAAGATATTATTGATACCAAACATTAAAAAATTATAGATACTGACGTAATTTAAGATGCCGAAGTACTCCATGTTCCAGTGGCGCCCTCAAACAGGATTTTTATTTCATTGAAAGGTGCACTGTTATAGCACCGGCAAGAAAATCATTATCCTCTTCTCCCTATTATCTTCCGAAAACTCGAGGGTTGTTATCTGCATAAAAATCAAAGTTGTTTGGGCGGCTGAGCTAGGCATCTACTGTGATAAACGATGGTTATATGTAGACAATCTTTGTATGTGTACATATAAACATATACCGTATTTAATAATACAAGATGTAAAAAATCTACTCCAAATATTTTATAGGGTGAACGTGGTGATAGGCTGATAATGGACGTTTTTACGGTTGTTTATGCCCAGAATTCCCGTCATAGGATATAGATGTGTTCTGTTCTGTATAATTATTTGTTTCTGCGTATGTGTATTGAAGACGCCACTTGCACTTTGTTCAGTGTTGCATGAATAGATACGCGTATTTTTCCTATACATTCATCTTATCGTACAAGCTAATCGTATTAAAGTAATAATTTAGGCATAATATAATGCACGCAGTGCGCCCACCACGCCTTCAGATGGCATTGCAACCTTTTGTATAAATATAGCCGATTATTGAAAAAATTTACATTTGCATTCAATAACTTTAGTTGCTATTTTATAATTTATTAAGTATAATTATATTATTAAATAAAATGCTTCCATCTGTAATTCGAAGAGCAGTTCCTTTTGCGTTTAAATGGACGAAAGTTGCATCGGTTTCAAGCAAACGTTACATTAGTAACAAAAACCGTAAGTTTGCCTACTCTATTAGGCCATTTAAGTATATGTCACATTACTAATCGGCTCACAAGACATTGTACGACAGGAGCATGAAACTGAACAACTTTTCATACATACCCATATCATCATTATCACACACGCTTTTGCAGGGTGGGGTAGGCAAAGTGTTAACAGCTACAGAAGTGAGTTCGTTATGGTACACGTCTCTCAAAAACATTTCATTTGTTATTCAATACGAGAGGCTTTAGAAAAAAAATGCCATCTTTGGTTTCGTAACATTACAACCTGGCAACTTCTATGATATTAAAGGTAATTGAGCTGTCAACCACATTTGATATTCTGCCATACGATTAAATAAATAAAAGTCACAAATCAGACAGAATCTGGTCCGAATAATATGCAAACGGATTCGCGGCATTGCTCGCACTATGTCTGAATGTGAATATATGTTACGTTATTATGGAGATATGGAGATGAAATATCTACGTAAAAATAAAGTATGAATCGTTCATATTAAATTAAAATACAGAAAGAAAACTTTAAATGCATTTTTTGTTGTTGACAGAAACACTGGCAGCATCAGCACCTAGTTTGAAAATAAACTGGAGGGAATTTGAATCAGAAAAGGCCAAAGCAGTTACGGTGGACTTTGATTACGTGAAAAAGGCGATCGAAGACCAAAACGTACTGATTATTGACGTCAGAGAACCGGAAGAAATCATGGCACACGGGAACATACCTAACAGCATCAATATACCACGTAAGTGTCCGTCCACTTGCCTTTACTTTTACAGCCACAACAGTCCACTGCTGGACATGGGCCTCCCCTTATCAGAGGGTATTGCCATAATCACCACGCTGGACAGGCAGACTGGCGAGCGCAGTGCAAGATGTATTGTTCACAAGCGACGCTGCTGCCCATTCCCTGGGTGATTATCCCTTAGTCGGCTTTTGCGACACCCACGGGTAGAATTGGGGTGATGCTGTTCTAAGCCGGCATCACACGGCAAGGTGTCCACTTAGTGTCATCGAAAAGCAAACCCCGCTTATTCCCTACCTTAAATAAGACTCACGATAAGAAGACCCCAGCAATTATTTTTTTGTTTTTTTAGCATAGTTAAGTACTATCGCGAGCAAATCCACCTCTTATAACTACTGTTTTTTCTTAGCAATTGCACAAAGTAAGTATTGGCTGGATTTGGATAAAGAACCAATAAGTTGGTCCCTAAAATGGGTAGGTGGATTTGCTGGTAAAAATACCGCCTTATGAAAGGGCTCTAAAATCAAATAAATACTCCTCTCCATTCTTATCTATTTTCTTAAACCGATTGTTACTAATTAATAGCTTACCTAGCTAGGTATATGATTCTGAAATATACACTTTTTTCATAATCACAATATAATATTGATTATTATTTTCAGTGGGAATTGTAACCCCAGTTTTTAGCCAGTTATCAGACGAGGAATTCTTAGAGAAATACGGAAGAACAAAGCCGGGGAAAGATGACGAAATCATATTTTACTGTAAGATTGGCAAGAGATCTGCAATGGCGCAATACGATGCACAAAAATTAGGATATAACAAGTAAGTACCTACTACGATATAACATAGAATAACCCCTAGGGCCACGCGCGTATCTACAGGTGACTTTTTTGTCGTAAGACAGTCGGAAGGTCCTTTTACTTTCATCTAAAAAGCACTCTAGTTTTGACTACTTTCAAAATAAAAAGTAGAGACACTAGAAGCCCTATACCTACCTAATTAACTTTTAATTTTTTCAGTGTAAAGAACTATTTGGGAAGTTTTACCGAATGGAAAATCAAGAGATACTACTCTGCGACAAATTAATAGATAGATACCTAGTAGAGATGGGCCGAATATTCGGTTTATTTTATTTTATTTTTATTTTATTTTATTACAAATAGGCACGCCAACATCCTTTAAATCTAACATACAATGAGCTTAGGTTATATTAGCATTAAATCACTGATTTAAAAGACAATTACAGGCGCACACAGCATTCTAAGAAATTTAAACAGTAAACAAGTTTAAAAGAAAATTAAGTAGGTAAGTGTAACAACTTAAATCTAGTAATAAATTGTAACAATCTAAACTTAGGTCTACATGAGATCAGTGAGCAGATGAATACTTAAATAATTATATAAAAATATCTATTACAAAAACAAGTTACAATAACAGTTTTCGCTTATATACTATAAGCGAGTCACTAAAAATATCAACAGCAGGGTTTTTCTTCACAGATTGGTTGTACATTTTGCACATTCTTATCAGAGGAGAATGTGCAGCGACATTAGTGCGACAATACGGAATATTTAATATGTGTGCAATAGGGTGTCTAGGATATTTTTTCAATAAGTTCTTGACAATCTAGTTGAGAGTTGATTATTTTGTGTAAAAATACTAAGTCATGCCTGGTACGACGTGATAGCAGTGACTCTAATTTAAAATGTGACAAACAAATATCATACGTGACTCTATGTGAGATGCCTGGTGTGCCAAAAGCAAGGTGACGAGTAAAAGAGCGTTGAATTGACTCTAAACGTTGAGTCTTAGTTCGGTTGGTTTATGTTCGGTATTCGGCATGTTCGGCACATTTACCGAATATTCGGTTTCGGCCGAATGTTCGGTGAACTTTGCCGAATATTTTTCCGAATAAAAATGTATCCTTTTTATATAAATTCGTTGAACGACTCGGTGTCCCACACGAAAAGAAGAATATAAATTGTGTGGTAAATTTTTATGTCAAGACAAGCAGAGAAGCAAATTTATTTTAATTTGTTGTGAAAGTTTCCAATGTAACAAGTTAGAGGGTAAAGAGCGAAGTGGTCTGGTGAGAGTCAGCGCGTAAGTCGTAAACAAGTGATAATCATAACTATTTTATATGGACATCATGTCCTGCCGAATTATTCGGCCGAATATTCGGTTCGGCAAACTTTTTACCGAACATTCGGCCGAATGTTCGGATTCGGTAAAACCTGTATTCGGCCCAACACTAATACCTAGTACCTACTTGTATACTTAGGAAGATTAAATTATTATTCATTTTATTATTATTATACCTACTTAGTACTAATAAAATAGTAATTTTATTATTTTAATTTGTTTTAAATAAACAGTGATTTTATTTATACCTCAGTACCTGTTTTTTAATTGATTTCATTAGTAAAAATATTTTCACCTGAAATCTAAATAACAAGGACAAGGCAGTCGTGTAACTCGATCTTAACAAAAGAAAAATTATATCTTAGCACCACGAAACAAAGAAAAGAAGAAAAATAGAGATAAAAATATGGAGTTTTCCCATTATTCACGAAAAGTTCGCCTTTGTGATTCTTTTTGTTTCACCCTTTCTTCGTTTTACTTCCAGACTTTTAGGTGCTAACTTGATAAAGGTTTTCTGTAGGCTTTTTTGTATGCGTGGTAAGTAGGCCTTTCTGGCTGAATAACGAGTTCTAAAAGTGTCTTAGAAGTATAGCGACGAAGGGTGTATACCACCAGTCATTCCAGTGCACTCCGGTAAGCGTCAAAATCATCGCTATAATAATAGTACTGAGTGAGCCATCTGTAAAGGCGCCCCGCGCGCAGTCTTGTGTTTAAACTACCACTGCGCCACATCATCGGCTGTCTAGATTGAGAAGGACCGGTGCCAGGTTTTCCACTTGACTTGCTTAATTCGCAGGCTAGGAATGAGCCGCTGTAGCCAAGATGGTTAAGGCGTCGTAAGTACAGATGGCGAAGGTCACTGGTTCAAATTCAGCCTGCGGTGGAAAATTTTTCAAGTTTTTTCGAATATCTATCAAGGGAAGTGTTTTAAGGTATTCAATAACCAACTTACTTTCGAAAGACCCGACCTAAATAAAGATGATGATATTTATGATGATCTCTCCGGCCGATTTCGGCCATGGCGACAACTTCTACTCCTAATCGAGTAGGCGCTGATGCGCCCGTAGGTGGGTAGTGGCTTCAATAAGACCTGCAAACTCCAATGTGTTATTAAGTACAATCATCGTCATCTTCTTGCCCTTATCATATTCTGTGCCCTTATCCCAAATCAGTTGGGGTCGGCGCAACATGATTTGTTAGAGCACAAAATCATGTAGCAAAAATATGTGGCTATGTTTTATATCCGGCCGCCTATTTGACGTCAACCCTCTTTGGGAATGCTATTGAAGTTGGTATTACCGCCACCATGCCGTTGACCATTAATAGTCGACCAATAAACCAACAAAAATTAAAGTCAAATCTCGAACATGCCGGCAAATTGGCACAAAAAAGCATTTAAAAAGCACTCTACATTCAACAAAAAAAACTACCTACAATTTGCGGCATTTTCCTTTTGCCGTCACATTCTCGTAGTAAAACCGTTAATAAAAATTCATGAACGAAGTAAGTGCTGTATTCCAGATTTTTTAACTTAAATCCAATGGTGCAGCTAATTTTTTCACGGCTGAAATGGAGCGCGGGATTTTAGAATAAAATAGCGGTTTTCAGGCAGGTGGAGCATAGATTTCAGCATTTGTTTCTGGCTTGTAAGGGGCAAGCTCCGAAGAATAGACGCGCGACGCGTCGCGCAACCAACATGACATCTGTCAGACAAGCGGCCGTCTTCTGTTTCATACATATACCTATATGGAAACAGTTTCAAGCGTCGCGATGTCGCACGTCTCACGCGATTACGTCTCCAACGAGCCAACGATCACTTGTTTGACAATGCCATCTTACGTCCCACATCTCACGTCTACTCTGTGGACTTTGCGCCTAAGCGGGTGGAATACGGAGGTGAGAAAAATACCTACTGGGTGAAATTTTACTAGTAACCGATAGCGAAAACTCAGAACCGGCTTGTGATAAGGAACAACTTTCCCCAAGGAACATAGGCCGAAAGGTGAAAAAAAAATTTAGACTTCCCATGGTAGGTAACTCAAATCAGCTGATCGGCAATTTTGTATGGGAGGTCCGATTTTTTTTTTTCACATTTCGACCTATGTTCCTTGGGTAAAATGTTCCTTATTACCAGCCGGTTCTGAGTTTTTTCGCTATCGGTCACTATCACCCTCTATACTAGATAGGTACAACTTCCCAAAACCGCTAGTTATTTTGTAACTACAGTGTTGACGGGATATTCCGTTAGACAAGACTGTTACTTTACATAGCACGTTGTTGTGTGCCATTATTCGCACCACAGTCCTGCATGTTATAGCCGGAGAGCTGGTTACGCCAAAGCGTATACGTTTTGACCAGTTTAAATAGCATGTAGGAAGGTAGGTAGTTAATAACATGACGAAGAAATATTAGGGTGAAAGTGTTACACAGTTAAAAGTTATGTTGCTGGTATGACATACGAGTTTTTAACAATAGCGATCAGTTTTACCAAATCCACCCTATATTCACTTTATAAAAGCTGCCATGCACTCCAAGGTTAAGAGAGTCTAAATACGCATAGTGTCAGTTGTTTCCTAATGTTACATGGAGCGCCAGCGACACCTATCATTTTATAACTCGATTTTTATAACTGTGCGCGTGGAGCTGTCAAAATATGTATGAGTTTGACAGTTAAGTGACAGTTCTCCATAGTAATTTTGACAGCTCCATGCGCACAATTACGAAAATCGAGTTATATCTCTGGGGTTACCAACTCTTATACTATTAGTACTGAAAATTGTTGCACGTACTAGGAAGTTAATTTGCATACACCTTCTGAAATGTTTTGTGAAGATAGTACATTGTTACCTACTTTATCCCTAAAATAGTAGGATCACTTATTTTTTTTTGAAAACTTGCTTTATTCACTGGGTCAATCTTCAAAAGGCGCAATACTTGCGCAATTTTTTAAAAGGGTAAAAAAATACGTTTAACGTTTAGGTAACGAGAGACTATAACCTAATGTATTACATGTGTGCAAGGCACGCCGATAGAACTAAGATTTAAGGAGATACTGACACAAACAAATAAAGCTTAGTTACGGTAATGAAACTGTTACCTGGTAATGATTTATTAGGGTATGGTAATGAAATAAAAAACATAAATCAATAACTCTGTATGACACCACATCTCGGTTTAGTGGCGGGCATGCAACTCTGTCTAAGAAACCTCTTAAAGCCAAGGATGGACAACTCTTTCGTACAACTGAAGAACAGCTAGACAGATGGCAAGAACATTTCAGTGTGGTTTACTCATACTTGCTGTTAGTGAAGTGGGCAGCAGTTTTAGAATGAATCCTGACGATTTGCTTGATAGACCTATGACTAGGTAAGTTGTTAAAACTATTGCCAACTTTAATCCGGCAAAATCTTCTAGTTTTGACAACATTAACGTAGAGCTACTTATGGAATACGCAGTGCCATCATCTGAAATATTGCACTGCACCCTTTCATAGCACGAATCTGGAAACGTGATATTCAAGCACCCACAAAATGGAAACAAGGGCTGTTGGTTAAAGTTCCGAAGAACGACAACTGGTGATGCATAACAATACTTTCTTCTGCTGCAAAGGTTCTAGCTAAGAACGATGTCACCTCACATAAAACGAACCTTACGCGAAGAGCAAGCTGGTTTTCGCCTTGGGCGCTCATGTGCTGACCAAATAAACACGTTCCGGATACTGATAGAGCAATGCGTAGAACTGCAGTTTGAGGTGTACATTACTTCGTTGATTTTAAAAAGGCGTTTGACACCGTAAAAAGGAGTGCGATGCGGGCAACGCTAAGAAGGAGGGGTTTACCACGAAAGACAAGTCAACATCATCAAAGCTTTCTCATCCACAGTACCTGCAAAGTGGTTCACGAGCAGACCCGATAAAAATAATCGCAAAAGTCAAACAGTGATGTTTTTTACTTTCAATTTTCTATAACAGCAATTTCGGGGCAGCACCATTACCAACAGTGGTGGCTCAGACGAGGACGTTGACGGCGGGACAGGATAAAGAAAGCCAAAGGAGTATGCGCTCAGTTAAAACCTGTTTGGAAAACAAACATCCTTACCCAAATTATCAAAATCTCACTCTTCGTCTCGCTCGAAAAGTCAGTGTTGTTGTACGGCTATGAGTAGTGGAAGGTAACTAAAACCTTGTCGAACAAAATCCAAGTTTTCGTAAATAAATCGGTGTATTCATACTAGGTATCTACTGTAGTCCAAACCCAGGCAGTCACCAGTCACAGAGGAAATTCTTCACCGTAAATGGAGTTGGATTGGGAACACTTTACGCTAAAGCGACGACGACCTAGCCAAGATTGTCTTCATGTGGCAGCCAAGTGGGCAACGTTGACGTGGCAGACCTGTTGAAACCTGAACGAGTACAACACAAAGTGAGCTGAGCGCAGTTGGAGCCTCCTGGGACTTCAATACGGAGGAATGGAAGAGGCTCTCCAGGGCCCTTTATATAAACGGATTACCAACCACTGGAAGTCAACAAAAACACTACATTTAATTATTCTAATTACTGGGAAATAAATATTTTACATGCACATTGACATACAGAAAAGTATTTGAGCATTAACTGCTGATACTTATTTATCAATTCTAAAAAAATAAAAACGTAAAAAAGAGTTTCTCATCTCCGTCGCGGCAACGTCATTACCGTAGCCTCAAAAAGGTTACGGTAAAGACGGTAATGAAGGGCCTGGTAATGAAGAAATCAAATATATTTGAGAAAAACTCGCATCTTTCCCGCCTTTTCTCATAAAAGCTTTTATGGTTACCTAACACTACTTGAGAGTAATGGTTATAAAGCAAACAATTAAAGATATAACATAAACTTAACTCAATAATTCAGGCCGTATAATGAAGAATAAACTGGTTGAAACACCAAATTACGCACTTCGATATGATTTTGTCGCGAAAACGTAGACACATCCACACAGTACACAACGTCCACCGATCGATTGACTCGCGGCGAGAGAAATGACGGCGTTTTGCAGCGAGATCAAAGGAAATTACGACTACCTCAAACACAAATAAATCTGCACATGGTAATGAAGTTTTTATCGTGACAAAAGTTAAGGTGGTTCGTTACGTCATACAAACGAAAAACTGCACTACAGTCGGGTTACACATGAGCTGTAGAGTTTCTTTTTAAAGAATACTTTATTCTGAATGATGAAGGCACACGTAAATTTGTCGCAAAACTACTTATAGTTAAAAGATAATCAGTATTTTCTACACAGTAAAATTAAACGTATTTATTGCAGCAGTAGCTCCATCTATTTTCGTAAAGTGGCGACTCGCTTTTTACGGGGAAATCTGATGATTTAAAAATTCTTTTTAGTGTTTTGCGACAATCTTATATACCCATGGCACTCCCCATCAAGTTTTTTAAACCGACTCTTGTCTCCTTTACATACATAACTCCATTGAACTTTTGTATGGAAAACGGAACGCCTTAAGATGAAAAAAACAATATGTCTTCGTATTCTAAATTATGAATAAAAATATTGTTTTGAAAGCTTAATGATTTAGAATTTAGGTACCCTGTAGCAAGTGATGTTCTCCGCGCACATTTTGGAAATGTACTTTTTTTTTTGTCGGTTCTGATCAGAGAACAGGTCATGGTAATGAATTTTTGGTATTAAAAAAATGATATCTACCTAATCTACTATCCTTTTGTTGTAATTGTTTTTGCGCTATACTAAATAGGTTCAGGCTCTCCAAATAAGGTAGAAATATTAGCTCTGCGAGTAATCAATGTGTGCATTTACTTTCGGAAATTAAAAATAATCATGCTTTGTAGATTGACCCCACTGCAGGTAGGATGCGAACCTGCGACTTTCG